TGTTGTACTTGAGTAAAAGTAGAAGTACCAGAGTGTAGGAATACTCTGTTACAGTAAAAGTCCTGCATTCAAAATGTTCCTCAAGTAAAAGTAGAAAAGTATTATCATCAAAATATAGTTAAAGTAGCGACAGTAAAAGTAGTCATTGTGCAGATTGGTCCATTTCAGAATAATATATCTGATATGTTTTATAATGATTGATCATGAAAGTGTTCTCAAAGCTGGTAAAGGTGCAGCTAGTTTGAATGACTTTGTATACTGCAGGGTAGCTTGAGAATTTACTCCAGGTGGAACTAAAGTCTGATTTAACACTTGATTAGATTTCACATCATTCATCCACATCTGTAAAGTAACTAAAGGTATTAAATACATGTAGTGGAGGAAAAGTACACCATTTACCTCTGAACTGTAGAGGAGAAGAAGAACAAAGTAGCAAAACATTGAAATACTTAAATAAAGTACAAGTATCTCAAAATTGTACCCAAGTATAGTACTTGTTGAGTTTATGAACTTAGTTACTTTACACCACTGGCTATAAAGATAGAAAGACAGCCTTGCACAGAGGCATGAAAATACATTTTCAAAATGCTCAACAGTCCTGCCAAAATTATAAACTGACTGCTACACAATTAAAATAAATGCTTAAATATATTTCTATTAGATGTGACTCTTTGGCGTTTCTGTTATTATTAACTGCTGCTTTAGTTGTTCTGACTGCTAAAATCCTCTGTTATTCCTCATTTTAAAGCCGATATTCCGTGGGGTCGGGGGGCTCGGATCCTTGTCACCTTTTTCATACCTGATGAGTTTGCATCCCTGCACTTAACCAATAAAAAAACACTCGCGGACCACCTAACTCCACAAATATCCAAAACCAAAGGCCTGCTTACCACTCCAACAGTATATAACAAATGACAGCCTAATAATGATAGCTTAAGCTTCTCTATATCGCCTCGTTCACACATTGAATCAACAATACAAATACAACTACAGATTATATAAGCATTTCGTTCAAATGCCATTTAAAATGCTCATCGGTTTTACACCTCTTATGAAATGTAGACTACATTTATTAAGGAGTTTATGTCCGAGCCAACAGACTCTCAGATCGTTTTACTGAGAGGAATGCAAAACACACCGCATGTAGTACGACACAAACCTCGGCTGTGGTTTTCAAAACAAAATACAGTAAAACTATGGTCGCAGGCCCAAGTTTAACTCTCTGAGGTCTAAGCCATTTTTTCACTTGTTAGGCTCGCGTGGGCTTTTTTTTGGTAAAAATGCTATTAAAACATGAACCTTAGTGACCATCGGGCTGGCCTGCATGGTCTGCCTACAAAACAAGAATAACAAATCTTTTTGCAGCCCCAACAACAGCCTCTTCATGTAATGCTTCATTGGATGCACATATTAGATAATAATCTCTATCTCACTCCTAACACATCTAAATCTACTTCCAGCCTGGATAAATGTTCATAAAAGATATCCATTGTTTGTTTTATACGCTTCTTGAAATCTAAAAAAAAACAACATTGTTTTTCTAGAACAGATTACAAATGGCCTGAAAATGGTACAAACAAGTGGCAGCATGTGTGACGAAGGTGTTGCGCTGTGCTATATCATGCAATCGAAAGTTAAACTTAAGCTTGCTCCATTGCGGAGATATTCCCGCGAGAGTGCGGAAAACTTAAATAAATTAATTTATTATTTCTGAGAAACACCCTAAATGATGTTTCAGTGTTATAATGACTCAGTCTGTCCCTGTGGCTGATGTTGGTGTTTCTCTCTCTGCAGCCGGGGAAAGACAGCATGTGGCTCCCCATCCTGGTGGGTCTGAGGATCGTCTTCATCCCTCTCTTCATGCTGTGTAACGTCCAGCCTCGTAACTTCCTCCCCGTGCTGTTCGCCCACGATGCCTGGTACATCTTCTTCATGATCTTCTTCGCCTTCTCCAACGGATACTTGGCCAGCCTCTGCATGTGCTTCGGACCCAAGTAAGAACTACTCTGTGTCAAAACTCTTACATTGAGACGGGATTATATTAGTCCTGGCAGATTCTTTCTGATGATTGGACGATAAGATTGCGTCCAGTAAATCAGTAAAAGTCTTCTAACTCCTTATATATTTATATTTCCCATGATGTTGAACGATCCCTTGTCTCTAACGGTGAACCTCTCCTCCCTAATGGATCTGTCCCCCCTTTGTCTCCGTGCAGGAAGGTCCCACAGCATGAGGCGGAGACGGCGGGGGCCATCATGGCTTTCTTCCTGTCCCTGGGCTTGGCGCTGGGCGCTGGTGTCTCCTTTGCTTTCAGGGCCTTGGTCTAAGAGCTCCAGAAGACCCCTCATTAGACGTAGATTAGACGACCTCCCCCCTCAAACACTGCCTGTCTTCACCCGCCAACAGCCTCTGACTGAGAGGAGACGGCACACGTGAAGACGAGAGGCCCTCGGTCTTCTCAGATGTACAGTAGAGACTCATCCAATATAAGCTGAACATGTTACTGAATATACGTCTTCCAACTCAGCAGCACAGCGCGAAAACTCGATGCCATTTATCAAACAGGTTGTTCCCCTGAGATGAATTGAAGTTCAGAGGGCAACTTGACAAAAACCAAAAGTGTTGTAGATCAGTTGTAGCGGACTCGTCATGTAGATGTTTTTTAGTTTTCCAAGATAAGACAAATCCCAGGCAGGTAATGAAGACTTTACATGAAGCGTCCTAGAGCCTCATTCATAAAAATGTTTTATGTTCAGTCACGTACTTTAGAAATCACATGAAGTTATGATGGTGTGTAAAAAAAGTCCCAACATTTTTATAAATGAGGCTCTTAGATTCTGGTGTTCGGATAGTCTGCTTAAACCAGTACATTTTACCCTCAGTTTGTAAACTGTGATCCTGAACGCTACTTTTTTTTAAATGATTTCACTCTGTACTGTTGCAGCTTTTTAACTTTGATCAAACCAAATACATGAAGACACGGGGAACTTATGAACTTTGAAGGGAGGTTAGACCCATCAAACAGCTCATTAACGTGCCGTGTGCAAACCGCTTCGCTCAATGCTGCTTTCAGTGTCACCTTAGTCCGTAAACTTCCTATTTAAGAATAAGCACATTCTCGATGAATGTAAGCACAGAATAAATCCTGAAGACGAGGTTTTAATCCACAATCTGAGCCACTAACTGCTGAGTACTCATTGTTTTAGAGAGTGCGGACTGTCTGTTTGTAGATTTAGAAGAAGCACCAGCGTGGGTCAATTTGGTTTATCTCAAAACACACTTATCTGTCTAGATTTTCAGCCCACAGGATGATGTTCATACTGCTACTGTGGCTTCCTGTTAAACGACATTTGCCACAATGTATTTTAGAATGCAGCAAAAAGAAAAATATGCAGCCGTGAAATGTGCCATTTGTGAGTGAGATAAGGAGGATTTTTGAAATGTCATGTGTTGGCTTTCTCAAGCCTTTGACATTTGACTTTTTTTTTTATGTAAGATAAGTTTTGTATCAGTAGTAGTTTTTAGTATTCTGTTCAAACTTTACCACTCGGCTCTTTGAGTGAGTTTTGTTCTCATGAATTGGGAGGTGCCTATCATTGTTATATATTTGTGGCCTTTTTGATGCTTTTCTTTCTTTTTTTTAAGTCTGCTTTAGTTGTACACGATATTATTCATACAGTAATACCAGCTGTATACATGCTAACTGCCTGTTTGTTTAAAAGCACAACGTTGGTCTGTTCTTCCGTACTGTGTGTTGTAGTTTGTTCATGGATCAGAAAATGTTGATATTTGCAGCTTAAAAAAGTTCTGTGATAAAATAAAAACTGTATTTTTAAGAATCTGGCTCCTCCTGTTGGTCATTTACGGAAATGCACTGCTCAACATTCAGCCAATCATTAGATTAAAGGTGATCTGGTAATAAAGAAATCTGGTTGTTGCTAATATTCATGAAACAACTGGACTCAAACGTATGTAGACTTAATTGACTTGAATCTGCAGTGTAAACTGACGGCGCTCCTCTGCTGATAACCTGCATGTGACTGAGTAATGAAGTTAACTTTCCAGAGACGTCTCGGTGTTAGTCACAGAAAGATTAAAAATCTCAGTGACTTTTATGGCACAAGGGCACTGATAAAGCAACTCTTGACCCTGTTCAGATATCATATAACTGCTCTAAAATGTAAGAATTTAACATTTTGAAATGGATACATAAGAAGTGGCAAACTTTAAGATGTGTCATAGTTTTTCTTAATTGCTTAAAGGTAGGGTAGGTAAGTTTGAGAAACCAGCTCGAGTGCGCTAGAATTTGAAAATACACAACCGGAGAAAATCTGCCACTTCCTTATAGAGCCCCTCTTCCAACACACACGAACGCGCACATGACCAATGAGGGCACGAGATAAGTTTGTGCACAGATGGAAGGCTGACAGGCAGGTAGGCCATCCAGTTACTTTAGCCGGGCCGGCTAAAATGATTGGTCGTGCTTTTTACAGTACTACGGCTTCCACAGATGACATTTTTTTATGGATTTTTTGTCAAAGCACTTAAGATATTCATTGCTATCGGGATGTTAAGAGCATTCCATGGAATATAACAAAAAGTGTATCTCGAGCCGGTTTCTCAAACGTACCTACCCTAAAACATTTGAAATTAAAATATAAGTTTCCACTTGCATTAAGACACTTTCTTCCTAATTATACCCTATAAACACCAGAAATTAAGTATGGAGCTGGTATCAAGAGTAAAACAATCTTAATTACCCAAGGACTATGTATATACCTTCAACCCCTTACAGAGAGGATGCTTAGTGTTCAAAAAACAGTTTGTGCCATAGATGACATGTGTTAAGTGCTTTAAAGAACTTGATATAAAACAACAAAAGTCTTAATACTTGTGTTCCTGAGTGATGTTGAAGAAAAAATGTATTTTCTGTCCTTTTGTTCACATGTAATCATTTCCAAGTAATCATTTCCTAAAAAGAAAAGACGCAAAGGAGCCAAAAGGATTTAATTGATGATTTATTCTTAAGGTAAACATTTTATTCAAAAATAAATTACCGGAGACATCTTTAAAAGGCAGACAGACATTGTCTCCGAGCCACTCGTCACAATCAAAACATTTTCCTATCAGAATCCAAATATTCACACCACATAATGTCCGTCCTCACGAGAAGGAGATAAACTATGTAAACCCTACTACAGCAGCAACTTATCCATCTTAAACCACAGACTGGTGTTAGGTTGATCAAGGAAAAAACAGCCATTGTCAACTGATTCACTATAAAATGTATACAAAGTTTATTTAAATATTTAATCCAACATATACATGCCCGATTTGTACTATGTGATCACAGAAAGAGAGAGACTGTACAGTTCAGAAATGTGGATGGAATCAACGAAAAGAGCTGAGAAAGAAGTCAGAAATAAAGATGGGTCCAGGTCTATTTTATCAGTATTGGAGAAATCGAAATATTCATCCGACTCCAGAAAGAGAGACAAAGGCAGTGGATACAATCTAAACTCGTCGGTTACAGGAATAGTTCACAATGTTTGCAGTATAAACTCATCACTTTGTTCCTGAGTAACATGAGAAGATTGATACTAGTCTTGTGTCTGTCAGGTAAATGTGAAACTGCAGCTAATTAGCTTAGCATTAAGGTGAAACGGCTAGCATGCTCAAAAGAAAGAAGTAAAACATGGTCAACCAACACATCTAAAGCTTACTTAACACATTTCAATTGTAAATTCAACTGACAGGACATATATTGTGGATTATCGAGCTTTGGATGTGCTGGTACAGGCCAATTTATTTAATTTCGAAAGTTTCACCCTGTTAAGCTAACAGCATTAGCTTCTGGCTGCTGTTTTATTTTCAACCCAACATATAAACAGCTTCAATAATCACACCTAACTCTGACTCAGGGAAGCAAATTATCCAAAATGGCAAACTATTCCTTTATGAAATGTGAAATAGGAGTTTGAGCTAAATAAGGATATATTTATTGAACTCCCTGGAAGTAAAAGAAGGCTTCCAAGTGTATTCAAAGTCTTTAAATGCAACGAGAAACATTTAGAGCTAGTGCAGCTTTCATGAAATGGTCCTCCCTGGCTGCCTAAAAGCTCTTAGCTAGCTTAATGCTACGACAGAGTAGCTCCTAACACCATGCAGTGTCAAACACTGGCGGTCCGCTGCGGGACACTAAAGACCAGATAAAACACGTCAGTCCTACAATTAAAAACACGTCAAAATCAGCTGAGAGGCTCGCAGCTTCCCACAGTTCTCTTCAGGATTACAATCAGAAAATAGAGAAAGAGAGACAGAAGCAACCCGGAGCCCAGAGTGGGATTATGTTACCTGGTGACAAACTGAGTGTGAGCAGTGAATGAATGGAGGCAGGCAGGTGAAGTACTTATGTCAAATTAAGTAATAAAGAGTTTTGTTTGATTTGTGCACTCTTCTGAGGACAGACATGACTGTTCATGCCTCTCTAGATTGTACATAACATGCCTTGACATTTACTTTCACTTAAGTAGAATTAATAAAATCTGTTTCCTGATTTTACTGAATCAAATGATACAATTCACACGTCAGTCAGCTCATTATTAGTCGCTAAGTTACTTGTGCTTGTAGGATGTGTTAGACTGAAGTAAATCGAACTCTCGCCTATAAGACAAAAACACGATTAAATGCACAAAAACGTTTCATTTTGCATCCGTTTGTTGATTACAGCTGCCCACGGCGTTGTCAGTTTTCCCTGAATTACAGCTCAATTCTGAAGCGAGTGTAGTACGCTACCAGCAAACATGTGTGTGTATGTAAGCGCGTGTGTGTGTCAGCCTACAATACAAGACGCATCTTTTACAGCATGGCACACCGGAGGAGATGCCTTCAGGTCCTGATTTGGCGAGAGGCTTCTCTGCTCGGTCCTCTTAATATTAAAGGTGCAGCGTCTGCTCTGAGGCACTGGGGGGCGATGTAGAGCAGACAGAGAGCATCAGGTCCAGCAAATAGAGACGGTGGCAGCGATGAGATGATGGAGGACTTTTTGGGGAAGGGGATAAAAGAGGGTCAGCTTTGGTGTTGAACTAGTTCCACAGTTCTAGGTTTGATCACATTGAGCGAGTGGGCGGTGCACATGGCGGGGGAGATGAGGAGGAGGAGGAAGAGCGTCAGTGAGTCTTTAACTTGGTGTGCTGCGAGCCCGATTCTGTCAAGCTGGCTTTGATAGAGTTAACCACCGTCTGTCTGACGTTGTCTTCCATATAATGTTCACTGAGCGGCTTCAAGACCTGCAGGAGAGGAGGAGAGAGAGAGGGGGTTTGTGTGAGAATACATAATTAAAAGTGTCCAGAAAACAGTCTTAAAAAGGGGACAAAGAAAGTGAAATTAAAGATTTGGGAAGAAAAAAAGATCAAGGTGAAATAAATTAAGGAAAACAAGGTGTAGCGTCCAACTTGGAGACCACAGAAAACAAAAAAACAACAACCCAGGATTCACAACGTAACGGAAGAAAATCTCAACTGAAAATAACAATAAAGATTATTAAAAACCGTTTTGGCAGGCTTCCTTTCTTTGAGATCCTGAGATGGGCTGTGCCTGTCGCAGTTACATTCAGTGAAGCTCAGAGGACGTCCAGGGGTTAAAGCTTAAGAATCCAGCACCATTTGACTGAATAATATGCAACAAGAAGCCAGCAAACTGCAGGAGTTTCCATTAGAAGTTTAACAGAGTGTAAATGTGTCCGGCAGCTAGATCCTCTTCTTGTAGTTGTTGAGAGGAGTCCGAGCTCTGAGTCCTAGCGAGGCTCCTGATGGGAGGGAAGAGAGGAGAGAGACGGGCCACGCCAGGCGGCTCTTTACGGGCTCCAAGAGTTTGGAAAACACCTGAGAGAGAGCAGGGAGGAGCGGGGGGGTTACAACGAGGAACAAGAGAGACGGAAGGAAACACACTGGAGCAGGAGGAGGAAGATACGGGAGGAGAATGGGGAGAAACTAATAAGGACTGCAGAAAAAATGGCAAAAAAAGTTAATAGTAGAAATAATATTTAGTAATATAATAATATTTCTAAAAATGTTTTAGAATAGTAAGTCATAAAACATTTAAATAATTATCTTACTACAGAATCTTATAAATAAAAACATATAGTATAGTATGTGATAAAAATCATTTAAAAAAAAAGTCTGAATATTGTATGCAGCAAAAAAGTCAATTTAAAAAATAAAAAGTTAAATAAAAATGTGTAAAATATGTGAAGATTAAAAGGAGAAAAGAAGAAAGACTTGAGAATACTTGGGAGATGTTGAACCAAACAAGTGAAAAGAACAGAGGGAGGGGGAGAAAGGAAAGGAAATGAGGATGTTTGGAACCGGAAATGAGGATGTCTGGCAGAGGATCAGAGAAACAGGAAGTGACACCTCTCACCTTTCTGAGGGTCTTCTGTAAACAAGGGAGGGAGGAAGAGACACAAAGCAGAGGAAGGAGGGAGAGTCAGAGGAAACGAGAGGGAGGGGTTTGTTGTGAACCCCAAAACATTCATGAAACACAAAACAGAAGACAAACAAACTTCATATCCGTGCTCCTGAGTGAAGTCTGAGGGTAAAAACTGAGGGAGGAATGAGAGAAAATAAAAGTAGGTAATGACAGAGTGTAAATGAGGAGGGGCCGCTGGAAGGTGTTTTCAAGTTTGTGAGATGGATGTTAAGACAATCGTAAACATGGAGTGGAAAAAAGGAAATTAAACGTGAGAGGATTCTTGTTTCTAAGTCTAGAAACCTAGCAATAAAAAGGTCAACCAGGGAAAATCTAACCAAGTACAAAAGCAACATGAAATAAAACAGAAATGTAATATATCTAAATGTTAAATATATAAAATTTCACCCGCTTTAAAAAAGGCTTATATTTGATACATTCTTATAGTAATAAAAATCTAATATTTGTATTTGAACTCAAACAAACATTTCTGATAGGGATTACTTAAACTGGAATATATATCTATATGTATCAAGTGTCAAATGTACAGTTGAAAAATAAGCCACTGCTCTCTGGTAGACTAACAACGCCAGCTAGGGCTAAAAAATGAATAAAAAAAAACGTTTTAAAACAATTTTTTTATAACTGCTTGATAATTGTATCTATGTTTTACCAAGCTAAAATGCCAAAAAGAGTGATTGCATTAACATGGAAAAAGTTGGGCAAACCTAGTATTGCACAGTGGTTTAGGGAACTTTCTTTATGTCAGCCTTTAGAAAAAAATCACTTGCATTCTCAAAGACAAACAAGAACTGTTCCAGAAGGTCTGGGGACATTTTATACAGTATACCAAGAACAACGACCTATGTCAATTTCTGAACAAACCTGGGGCAGGATAATATGTTATAATATGTTAAAATGTAAATTACTGTGATATCCTCTGCAGAAATACGGTCCTATTGCTGGAAAACTGGATGGTTGCCGATGTATTAGAGTGCCAATGTTGTATCTATGTACCAATTTAATTTAGTGTTGTTATTTTTCTTTAATGTAAAGTAATGTAGTTGTCCTGTGTATATGTATGTATTGCTTTTGGCTCTATGTCTTCGTCCTATGTATGTGATTTTTTTGTATGCTGAAAATCAATAAACATATTGATACAAAAAAAATGCCCAAAATGTGCCTGTTACAGCTTCCCTTTAGGCAGTTACCTAGTTCAAGCTTAAAGTTAAAGCAACTATTACAAAAATAGCCATCAAATTGTTCATTAGAAATAACATTATTTCTCGCAACAGATTATCCTTACTCCAGATATATAAACCTGAACACACACACACACACACACACACACACACACTCCTCCTCTCCCACTGATGACCCACCTGTTCCCAGAGGGTCTCTGCCACCAGGTCTATCAGCGTCCCCACCTCCCTGAACTCTCCGCTGTACTTCACGTACGCCCAGGCGCAGAGCGACAGCAGCGCCACGCCCATCGCCAGGTTAGCCAGCGCCGCCAAGGTGCTGAGGCCGATGAAGCCCGTCACCCCGGCGACCACGTAGGTGACAAACATGACAGCGAAGAGCGTGGCGGGCGTGCGTGCCGTGTAGAAGATGTTCTTGCCGGCGTTGTGCTTGGTGAAGTTGGAGAAGGTCTCGTCCAGCTCGCCCTCCAGCTGGTTCTGGTAGCGCTGGCAGAACTCCTCGCCGCCCATTTTCTTCACGGAGCGGAAGTGACGCACCGAGTGCTCGCGAAACTCCTCGTGGAAACGCTCCAGGTCTGTTGGGGCGAGGTACGGCTTGTCCCCACCGCAGACCTGACGGGACAGAGGAGAAAAGTGTGACCAACAGGAGAGGAAGAGAATCCATTTTTATTAGACATTATACAATAATAATAATACTACATTTGATTTATATAGCGCTTTTCCTGGTGCTCAAAGCGCTTTACAAGCAAGTAAAGAAGAACAATAACAACAAAAGTAAAAAGTGCTAAGCTAGGTGGAATAAGGGCGAGTGGATTAGGAGTTGAAGGCAAGAGTGAAAAGGTGAGTTTTGAGGGATTGTTTGAATAATGTGAGAGATGTTTTGAAGGAGTAGTGTGCTGCTAGCTTCCTGTAAAACATATTGAACTATGACTTCACCCCAGTCTCCCTAAATGACACCTTTGGCAATCCTTGGGTTGTGTAATTGAATGTAATACAGATGAGTGTTGAAATAAATCATGTCCGTACCTGCTCCATGTTCCTGGCGTACATGTCTTTGGCTCCTGCCACAGCAGTCAGGTTGTTGGCTTCTGCTGTCGCCTGAAAAACAGGAGGAGATGATGAGTTTAGGATTCAAACCGAACTAGAACCGTACCTAATGAGATGATCCCTCAGACAGTAACTGACCTGCAGCATGGACTTTGGGTGAGGCAGCTCCTCCCCTTGGTAGATCTTTATGTAAGCCTGCAGGAATGAGATATTATACAGATTATCAAACCAGTGTCTCCTGTACCATGTTCTGCCAGCTGACAGAACATCAACAGTCTGGTAAGGACTTTCTTAGGATTCACTTTACAGCAACAAATGGCACAATGGGTGGTGACACTGAGACATAATTTAAGTGATAATTAGAACATATCAATCATAAAATGGTGTCTTTTTTTATGTCAAAATAAACAAAATGTTAAAGCTCTGCAAGCCATAATCAGAAGGCAAAAAAACATTATAATTATTTTAACATGTCTTCATTTTACAATTGTTTTTTTTCCTATGACACCACTGTTAAAATGTCTAATTTAGCTAAAATGCCAAAACAATGTCAGATAACACACCCTTATCTTTTGCTATTTGTCAATTATGAATCTACTGCACTTTGCAGCACCTTGAAGTACTCCAGGAGATCTCTGCAGGTGACTTTGTTTCCTCCGATCTCCTTCTCCACCAGACGCTCGGGGGCCAGCAGGAGAGGAACCAGCCTGGCCAGCTCCATCTTGAAATCCCCATCGATGTCTGAAACACACAAACACACACCTTGATTGTCCTCTTGATCTTAGCGGCTGATAACATCGCCTCTAAGGTAGCAAGCCACCTGGGTTCTTTCAGTGGTAACATAAGGGCAAACATCAAAAACCTTGGTGTAACTTTCGATCAGTCTATGCTACTAGACAAACACATAAAACTTCTGACCCGTACCTGTTTTTTCCATCTCAGAAACATTGCCAAGCTCAGGGGGGTTCTATCAAACACAGAAATGGAGATGGCTATTCATGCCTTTATTTCATCCCAGCTTGATTACTGTAATGCTCTGTTCTCCTGCCTCAACAAAACATCAATAAACCGGTTACAACAGGTCCAAAATGCTGCAGCCAGATTGCTCACTCGGTCCAAAAACACATGCCACATCACTCCGATTCTTTCTCCCCTGCACTGGCTCCCTGTCCATCTCAGAACCCAATTCAAGGTTTTGGTCTTCACTTATAGAGCTGTCCATGGCCAAGCCCCAGCCTACGTTAACGACCTGATCCTCCCTCATAGCACAACCCGGGCCCTGAGGTCCTCTGAGCAAGGCCTCCTAAGGGTGCCCCGAACCAGGCTAAAAACTAAGGGGGACCGTGCCTTTGAGGTGGTGGCCCCAAGGCTTTGGAACAAACTCCCCCAGACACTGTCGCGTTTCCACTACACGGCCTCGCTCGGCCCCGCTCGGTATGGCTGGGCCTCGTTAGGACTGGCTCACTTTATGGCGCATTTCCATTACAGTTTAGGAACTGGGGCAGTATCTATAGTAACGCAGTGTAGGCGGAGCCGTGACGTGATCTTCAGAGGACCCCAGAAAAAACAACACAGCCGTTAGCTGTTAGCACTCAGAGCTCACAGCTCCTCATATATGTTCAGAAACTAGACAAAAGTTAAACAAGTACAAACCACAGACTGCCTGTGTCATGGTGAATACAGTCGCTGCTTATTTATGTCTGTATAGGCCGTTGTTGTGAGTGTGGACGGTCGGAGCATATACTGCGTTAGCTTAGCCAATCTCCATTTAGAAAACAAGCATTTTAAAAGGTTTTTCCCCTGCCGTCTGTCTGCAGACTTGACAAAGCATTAATTCATGGTTTTTACTAACCGGTATCAGTATGTTGTTACTTCGGCATCATTTTGAAACGTGTATTACAATTAAATCACGGTCAAATATGTCCATCTTGTTGTAGTTGTTGCCCCCCTGCCAGCGACGCTCTCTCTAGTTTAGCATACTCAGCCCGACTCAGCCTCGTTGCCTCTGGCCCTGGAACCCACGATTTTATGAGGCCAGAAAAAACTGGAATTAGGACCCGCCGGCCGGTACTAGGCCAAGTGGAAACGCAACCAAAGACGGGCCGCTGACGTCACAGCCCTCTTAAACCGGGCTGCGCGCTGTAGTGGAAACGCGCCATAAGAGCCTCTGCCTCAGTAGAGATTTTTAAGGGGCAGTTAAAGACCCACCTCTTCCGTCAGGCCTTTGGGGCATCGGAGGAGGTGAGTTAGTAGCTGTCTTTCATTGGTGTTTTATCGCATGTTTTATCCTATGTATTACCTGCTGTTGTTTTATGCCTTTTTATGCCTTTTATTCTACATTTTAGTTGTGTACTGTGAATTGTGTACTGTACTGTAAAGCACTTTGTACATTCGTGTTGAGAAGGGTGCTATATAAATAAAGTTTGACTTACTTACTCTGCAACAAGCATATCAGTCCAGCTCACTTTAGCCATCACTGTTCATTATTAGAGTATTATTATTGTTCCCGTTTGCTCACCTTTCAGCCTGCCGTCAAAGTAGGGGTTGGTGGCCACCTTGAGGCCGGGATGAGGCAGCAGGAAGCAGCCGATGTTGGAGAAGCAGGAGTGGATGTGCTTCCTCACGTCATTGACTGATGAGTGTGTACACAAACCTCTCACTAAGCAAATTTACACAGAGCTGAACAGACTCTGCTGTTAAGCGTGTTAGTGCTCTTCAAAAGAGGAGTGTCTGACAGGAGTAGTGAGTGTTTGTCCTGCTGCATACATATATTTAATGATGTGTTTAACTATAACTTATCAATTATTCTCACCTGTAGTCTTTTATCCAGGAACTTGTTTCCACCTTCCAGTCCGTAGCCGTGTTCATAAGGATAACACCAGTCCCGAATCAGGAACATCAGGGACTGAACACACAGGAAAATAACAACACGGATGACAATTTAAAAAAATAAAATAAATTAGGTGTCTATATATTGATTACTTAGATTTAAAAGTATAATTTTAAGATTTATAATAATAATCTTAGGATTTTCTTACTAACTTTTTAACTTATATGTTCCATTACGTTCCTGTTTTCAGATACAAATTCAAATTAAATTGTATTTCTCAATTATATTGATCTAGTCAATATAAATACATGACCTGCTGTGCAGCCACATATTGTAATTATAGTATATGTTATGGACTAGGATAATTTTCAACGGTTTATATTAATACATTAGGACAACATGCATGTACACGAGTACACAGTCAACAGAGGCGTCAGTACCTGGAAAGGTTTCAGGCAGATCTCTTCCATTGCCAGGCGGCCATATTCTGTGAAGAGCTACAGATGGGAGAAAAACACATATGATCAGCAAACAAAAGTCACTTTGGTGCTACTGTTCCGTGGGAGTAGACAACACAATACCAACCTGCAGATGCTGCAAGTCGTCCTCCTGTATGTTCTGGGAGAGATTGTACACCTGAGAAGAAGGAAGACAAATATGAGACGTAAATACTGACATTTTAAGAGAAAAAAAAAGCATATTTTTCATAAGACAGGAAGTGCTTTGAAGTGTCACCTGCACAGAGCTGGTCATGGTGCTGAGGGCGAACACAGTGGCACAGTCCTTTATGGTGGACTGGCTGTCAAACGCTCCCTGAGTGTCAACGAGCAGCACAGCAACCTGTTGGGACGAGAGGGGACAAATGTAAACTGCTGCACACTTCAGCTTGGCGGGGCCTGGGTTTCTGCTTTAATTGTTTACGCATGTAAACGTCACGAAGAGAAAACAAACGTGATATTGAGCAGATTCTCCCAACGCCTTTTTGTATTGATTGTTTTGATTTGTGTTTACCTTGTTGCCATCAGGCTTGTCGACCACAAACACTTCGCTCCAGATCTGAATTCCTGTGGTCTCCCTCTCGCAGCCTCCTCTCCAAGTGAAGCCAGTCAGCGGCTCATCATCTCCTCCCATCCACGACTTACCCTGTTGAAGAGGGGAAGAGGGAGGAAACAGGGAGGGGGTGAGACGAGAAGAATGACAATATGAAATATTAGTTAGGTTACGAAAATAAAGTATTTTTTGTGACCCTGTACTCTTTAGCCCTAACCCACCATCAGGCCTGACTTGGACAATCGTTACACTGTATAATAACAAGCCAGTCATGTAAAGGTGTGATGTAGATTAAGACCAAAACAAATCACTGGAATTATTATCAGATCGTGGTAAAAAAGGTAAAAGGAATGTGTTCTTGATTTAATCTGCAGCACCTCAATTGACACAAGTTATACCATCATCCTCATGGTTAGAAAAGTATGGTGTGTACAGAGTAACACGTGTGAACAGCTCACTCTGGGACACACAGGATGACATGTGACTCCCACAACAACAAGAGTGGCGCTGCAGCAAAAGGCTTCAGTTTGAGACTGAACCCACCACAACAGATTCAAAATCAATCAGCAATCATTGAATCACTGAAAGCACAAAAGATGAGATTGAAACAACAATGTGACCTTGTTATTATTTCCACCGGACATGTCATGAGATCTGCTGACCACAAATAGGATATGAGTAAACAAGCCTCACAAACAAATGCCTGATTTGAAATGCAAAGTATGCATGAACACTGATTCTTGGTTTCTAGAACAGGACATCTGTGCCGAGTGGCTCAAACAAGGATTCTTGTGACCGAACAATCGAGCCAATCTCATTTGATAACAACAAATACCTGCGATCCATATATTAACATAATCCCACAGACTGCCAGGTTCTTATTTGTAACATGAACTTCTGAATATTAATGTTAGATATAAAGGACAACAGTCTGAACAAGTAGCATCAAGTGTTTGGGAGAAAAATGTGAACATGTGCAGATCTGGGCAGAGTTGGCATGAAATGCCCACGTTCATGCCTGCCCAAAGCTGTGGAGAAAAAACCTTCTTTCCGTCGTCTTTCCTGCCGTGCGTGCGAGAAAGAGAAAGAGAAAAGAGAGGAAGAGAGAGAGGAGAGAGAGAGAGAGAGAAGAGAGATAGAGAGGAGGAGAAGAGAGAGAGAGAGAGAGAGACGAGAGAGAGAAGAGGAGAGATGAGATAGAGAGATAGAGGAGATATGCAGAGAGAGATAGATCTAGAGAGCAGAGAGGAGAGAGAGAGATTAAGTGCAAGTGTGTGTGTAAGGTGATCCTGGCTCCTTCTGAAGGACTAGTTGTTGATACTTGTGTTGGAGCGAGTCACACAGCTGTTGGATGCACATGCTTGAAAATGTGTTTGTGGGTTTGTAATGTACCACTTTGTATTATTAATTACACCAATTATATCAAACGTTAGTAACCACACAGGGGAATTACGTTTATTGGACCAAAACTATTGATAGACTTGAATAACTATATACAATAGTTCTCAAACTCTTTTTATGAAATGTAATTATGATCGGTAATGATAGGTGGAAACCAGTTAAACCACTCTTTTTATTCAGCTCATTGAGTAAGTGAGATCAAACAGGAAACACTTGTCTATGCTCGTCATATTGTGTTACACATGCCAGTACTGGGTGTAATATTATAGGAGGTTTCTGTTCATTCAGCCTACCTGTCTACAATTTCTACTCATTGTGATTGTTGCACAATAATAAATCCCCAGAGGAAGGACAAGTCGTGTTTACCTAGCTCATGTAAACACAGCATCGGCATTTTACAACTACTACAAGTGTGAACAAGTTATATTACTAATTTAACTGACACTGTGCTCCACATGAAAATGGATATCAAAGTTATACATAATGTATCGCATGACTTGACTTCTCCTTATGGGTCATTTCTGTGTTAAGGAGACCATCCAAGCCCTCCTGTTTTTTTTTATTGATTAAGTTAATACCTAAATACATGTGCCTTTGTCAAAACATTTAACTGATCAGATTACTCCAAATTGAAAGTTAATAATTGTAACATCTTTATTAAATTATCTGCTTAGAAAAATTGTCGGATTTAGTAATAAATAAATAAATGTTTGAATGAATCTGTAAATTGATTATTTAAATGGAAGAACATTAACAACTATTTTAATATTTATTATAGTTTTTTTTAAAGTTTTTTGGGCAACCAGTGCCATTATAAGAGGGACAGTCTTGAAAGTTGGAGGCAGAGGGGATGACAGGGTCACATGATGCCCACTTGACTGATTAACTTCTCTATTACTGAATGAAACCTCACTCCTCTCACCTGACTGTGCATGAAGCGCAGCATGAAGTCCAGCAGGAAGGACTTGCCCTTCCGGAAAGCTCCGGCCACGGACACCACCACCACGTTCAGGTCCTTCACGTGGTCCTGCAGGAGGATCCTCTCCAGCGCGGGGGTGTCCAGCTCGAAGCTGTGCTCGTCCTCGTTGGCCACGACGATCTGGATGGGCCTGGCCTTCTGTTCCTCCATCGCGGCCTGAAGACATGAGTTTGCTATCAATCAGGGCTTTCCCTGGCATCGAGAGAGCATTTAAGTGATTACAGTGATGAGGAGGCAGGTTTCAGGGAGGAGACAGGGAAGTGAAAGCTGAGATCAGCAAATTAAGTGTCTGAGGGAGAGACACACACAAAGGCAAAGACGCACCTAGATTTAAATGTAAAATACACACAATGCCACAATGAAAAACTAAACTAAAAGCGATCATTTTGATTGAAATTGTTATTTGAATAGCAATATTAGAGGGAATGATCATTTTTTAAACATAATTCACATTTTCATTGATAAATAGATTAAAATAATCAAGTTCACATTGATTTTAGAGGATCTGCATGAACAGATGATGTGTGTAGAATACAGTTTGGACTTCACTGCAGCACTACAATACTTTATTCAGATACTTTTTAACATATTTTGCCTTTACCAAATATTGTGCTTATTGCGATTTGCACAGTGCCCTATTCAGTATTATGATAACATTTCCATTACGGGGGAGCTGTAATGGTACAGTATTACACTTGCCTATTCCCTTCCTTAATATGTACAGCATGTACTCACAAAAATAAAATAATTATTTTGTTAGATAGACCCTAGTTTGACATGGTAATACACAGGAATATATATGGCAGGAAACACATTAACATCTTACCTCTTCTTCCTGAGTCTCTTCATCTGGTGAGGGGCTGATGAGTGTATTTTTGCCCGAATTTGAGGCAGAGGTCCTGGGGGGGAAATCATCCTCCAGGTCTTCGGGCTGGGCTAAAGGAGGCCTCTTCTTTTGCCGTACAATGGGGACATCTTCCATACCACTCAAGCCTTTAGATAACCGGACAAAGTCGAGACAGAAAGATTAAATTACAGGGGTTGGATAACATCAAGCTGCATGTCAGTGAAAGACACATAGGCTGAAGGGAGAAGGATATGAATGTGGAGGACTGGTTAAGCAGGAAGACTAAAACACACTTTTCTAAGGAATACATTTGATTGTCATAATCTTGTTTGCATGAGAGACTGATTATTATTTCATAGAAGTTTACAAGGCAAGATAAATGGCCTTTAGGTAGTCTAACTGAAGATCTTTCCAGGCCTTTGTGCTGGGCTAAATACTGTTATCCACCCCGGTGTTCCCATCTAGGTCAAGCGCAAAAATAGCCTTGTTCTGAAAATCACAAAGGACTTGCAAAAGGGACACAGCAAAAAAAAGATAGGACCGTTTTTTCACTTTATATTCTCAGCCATTTTGAGGTTTCTGAGAGTCTTTACTTTACATGTAAAGCACGTTTCCTTTAAAATGCCAGGATTCCTTCCTTCCTGTCAGTTAAAAAAAACTGCAGTATAAGCAAGTGTGCTGAGCCACAAACTGTAATGCATGACAGAAAAGTAGCTTGTCTTGGTGGCCTTATTTCTTAAGGCTGTTTTGTTTTTATTGTTGACTGATATGATTTATCAATTTATTGTTGGCACTGTAAAACGTAAGAACTGAAGTCCAAGGTGACGTCTTCAAATGTCTAATTTTGTCTGACCTACAGTCCAACAGCCAACATATTAAGTTTAAATGAAACCTTTGAAGATCCAATTGTTCTTCAGTTTTCTACTTTCAGCAGTTTTCAGAGCTCTAAATAGAATTCTACAAAATGTAAGCAGCCTGAAAAAATTCTGTTTTGCCTTTAGTTTTTCAGCGTCCTGTTTTGTCTACTTCTGGGATTTCACACAGAAGGTGATCCTTATTTTTTTAAACCTCCTTTCTATATTTAGCCTAGAAATAAACCCTGGTGCCGGACTAAGATGACACTCCCTGAAGTAAATAAAAAAGTGGCAAACCCTTGGTTGTACACCACCTGACTGGTAGGACAACAAGTATCAAGCATTGCTCATTCAAATATTTAAAATGATTAGCCATTCATCTGAACCAAGTTTCCCACGAGATTATGTCTCACCACATTCAAATAAGGTTTCGGCAAACCAACATGACCCATCCCTTCCAGGAGTACCATCCTTGATGAGCACAGGCCCTGATCTACGTGATGTACACTGAGTACACTGAGCGGTTTATTGTTTCAGTTCTAAAAGCTCAAGGTGACATTTTAAACTAGCATTCAAAAAAATACTCCAAACAACCAAAGATATTGAAATCAAACATGACACAAGATAAAAAAACTGAGGCCCCTCTGCCTCTGAAGACAGAGCTCTATAAAAGCCCTGAGCCAGGTTCTTTTTGTTTGTTTTTCATGCAGTTTAATTGGGAGATCAATAAACGTGTGCCTTGTGCACATGGAGAGCACATTTGGAGGGTTTATGCTGTAGAAACAAGTTTATCACAAATTGGACCTCTGTGCAGGGCCCCAGGCGGTAGGTCCTAGTAGTTAGATTAGCAGTGAGCACACTTATTAGATTTACCAGTACCTAAGTTAGAAGAAAAACAGCCAGAGATCACACCTCGCTCTTCAGTACAAAATAGCTATTAAGCATTCTCTCATAAGCATTTCCAATGACAACAAATGGTCCTCTATCAAAAAAATGGACGCTCTATCTACTGGCCAAAGCCAAGAAACAAGTGACCTAGCGGTGAAAAACTAAAGCAATTCAGATCATGAAGAAACAAAAAATAAAACGAAATATTGAGAGCAAACAAATAAAATATGTAAAAAGAAGGTGTTATTTTGCTTTCATACTAGGGCTGTGCAATTAATCGTATTTTAAATCGCAATTACGATTTTGGCCTGCCACAATTACGAAAAGAACATAATCGAAAAAAACAATTATTATATTTGCTAGGTTGTGACAGTGCACTGCAACATATTTGATCCAATTTATTTTAGTCTCATTTATTTGTATTTATCATATTTATATATGTTTAGTAGCTTGTGGAAGTGCGCTCCAAAAATATTTGTTGATCTTGTTTATTGGTATTTATTATTTTGATATTATTTATTTAAATGTATCATTTATTTTTGTATTGGTTTTTCAGTTGAATTATACGTTCAGGGTAATCAACAGTTAAAAAGATACTGTTCAAATTATTATTTGTATTTATTTTAAAGTTCAATAAATGGATTTTTTCAAAGTCAATGAATGTATTTAATAATCGTGATATCAATTATTGACCCAAATAATCGTGATTATGATTTTTGCCATAATCGCACAGCCCTATTTCATACCATAAAAAAGATTCTACATCTTAGTTGTTGTTACACTTTGTGCTTCTTATATGTGGTAGGAGGGCAGTAACAGTACGTGATATCATTGTTCAAACAACTATAAGTGGGGCATTTACAGATCAAACTGGAAGTGCAACAAACTCCCAAAGGGCAGCAGCAATGCTTTCAGCACGGAGCAGTTACAGTAATCTGCTCTGCACACAAATTAGCCCAGGAGATTTCATCAGTGTGTAGCAGTGCAGGTTCCCATGTAGTCCAGAGCAGCACTCGGCAGCATGAAGAGGCTCACACTGCTCTCCCGCACAAAGACGCTATTCTGCTGGGACTGCTAGGAGTCTGTGCTGCAGCAGAAATGTGTGCGAGAGACAAAACACAATAAGCATGCAGGGAAGCATTACCAGCCAGTGAAAACCCATTATCTTTGCTGATCACTGGTGCACTCACACTTCATGATAAAGTGGCTAATGCACTGTCCCACTCCTCAGCTCACAGAAAAGAGGGCAGAACTAAATTAGCCACATTGCTTCTTATTTTATGGAGACACTGAGCAGATGTTAAATGGCCTACATGCTTGTCTGCATAGCACACACTCCAACAAAAAAGTTGTCAAGGTATGAGTTTGTAAAGTATGCAAAGCAAAACGCATTAGCCATAAACACATAAGTGGGGGGTCTATCTTTAACTATGCATGGCAAGAATAGAGTATGTCTACGCAAGCTAGCCTACATCTCAGCACTGCGTCCCAAACCAGCAATCCCTTCCCTGGACTCCTGAACTATATCTGAGGCAGACTTTGATAAGGGCATGGTCTACTTAACTTAACCAGCCGTCTAAATATGGGACTTTTAATACTTTAGTAACGAGGCAATTTTGTTGGTGTAGGAATGAATACCTTTAGAAACATTTGAGAGTGAAGGAAAATGCCCAACTTCAAGTTTGTCAGTGACAAATACTCTGCAAGCAAGATTATGTAAAGTATTTGCTGATGTTGTTTGTCCTGACATTTCACATTTGGATCGTGAGAGTGAACACTGGCACTGTTCAGAAAGCAGGGCAAATTCATGCCAGATCCTTTCTCTCTACTGTTGCCACACTGATTATTAGTACCAGTGCTTCTAATGCAGACTTTTAACACCATCTTGTGACATTAAGGCTATGCATTTCAGATAATTTGAAGAAGAAACAACCAAGAATGTATGATATTATCAAGACAACAAGACTGCAGGGACTTAGTTCATGAAATGTGGATGAGGAATCCACTGTAGCCTATTAAGATGCGGGTACATTGACTTCTCCTCACACCAGCAGCAATAGACAACCTGACACGGCCTGCTTGGACAAGAGTCAAAGAGGGCAAATGTTCAATTGCAGCAAGCAGACCAATCAGGAGTCTGTGAGGACAAAGTGCAGATTAAGAGCAGCAGGAGTTAGTGAATGTTGTTGCCACAGAGTCAGCTGGCCAATATGAAAAGTACACATAAGGGTTATCATGATAAAAGACTCCTGGTCATATCTCAGTGATGAGCCTTGGAGAACGACGATTTATTGTTTGCCTAGCCGTCTTTACAAGGTTTAGAGAGAGGTTACAATAACTGTTGGTGTGCTGGGGTAGATTTGCTTTAACCATTTTGTTTATGTTGTCATTTTAGATTAGGAAAAGGATATCAGGTTGTTTTCTCCTTTTTTGAGATGGCAATAGTGATCATAACAAATTCTTTTTCAGATCAGTCATTTAGTTTCTAGGTGCATAAAACGTAAGTAGTTTAAGCAAATGACTTAGTTTATCCAACCAACAATACAAAATACAAAGCTGTTAAAAGTGAATACAACTATTTGAAATGTTAGCTTGTGTCAACATTAATGATTGATTATGAAGGCATCCTATCCAGTAATCCAACTATAAACAGGGAGCTGGCGGTATCCCCATTTCCTCCAGGCTGCCAAGAAGCCATGTATCTCGAGCCTACTGCTTTAAATGCAAGGTACAGGTGAAACAGATAGGGAAATTAAAGTTTTACCAATACCAAATGTTAATTTTGTGGTTAATGAATAAAAACCGTTGATCCTGATATTATAAAAAAGGAATCCTTAACATTGAAGATTCTTAAGAACTGTACCCAGAGAAATAGTTAAAATATCTACTTCTACTAAAGTGATGTAGTGAACAACTTATCTACAAGATGACATATTCATCATCACTTTATCTACAAGTTGTTTTCAGAGGACAGAGTTAGCCTCGCAACTACGTGGATAAGTCTGCTGGCAAACTGAACAGACTAATAATAGGGCTTTTAAAAATACACATGTCTTTAGTGGGATGAAAAGATTAAAGTATGTGTGTTGTGTGTAGTTGGTAAGGCAGAAACCCCTGTTGCACAACGCGGGCTATTTAAACGTTTAGAAACGATGAAACCAAATCATGGTGACTGTGCATCTACATGTAGGTTTACAGACAAGAAACAACAGATCAGCTGGTCCTCTGCGGGCCAGGTGAAAGTGACGGGCCGGACAAACGAGACGACAGGTGTCACGGATAATGTTATATCCGGGTCAAAATCTATTGCATACACAGTTGGTGGAAAAAGTACTAAAATCTTGATTTCAAGTGCAAGTAAAAGTCCTGCATTCAAAGATTGGCCCATTTCAGAATAATATTATTATGTTTTTATTATAAATATTGATGTATTAAAGTGTTATCAAAGCTGGTAAAGATAGTTTAAAATACTTTGTATGCTGCAGGGTAGCTTGTGATTTTACTCCAGGTAAAGTCTTATTTAAGTGTGTAACTAAAGGTATTAAATACATGCAGTGGTGTAAAAGTACAATATTTACCTCAAAATTGTAGTGGGGTAGAAGAACAACATAGCGAAACATTAAATTACCTAAGTCAAGAACAAGTCCCTCGAAATTGTACTTAATTACATTACTTGAGTGAATAATATACTTTACACCACAGCACAGCACCTTTTCAGCTTAAGTTACACAGGAGAAAAGCTGTTTTGACAGCGCCAAACACACTAACAACACGTAACTTATTTAAACTAGTAGTCACATAGTTTGGACTGTTTTAACACCATGTGTCTGTTAGAGGAGACACATTCTGACACGGGGCACCATATTTGAATCACCATATATAACACCTCTCAAACTGAAAACAACAGCTAACGGAAAAGCGAGTTTGCCACTCTCAAAGACAAAGACGAAAGGAGAAAAAACACTTTAAATGTTAATCCCAAGCTTCTTAACTTCAGCCTGTTTAATCGATTCACTGTCATACATCTACTTGACGAAATCAACAAGGGTTTACCTTCGTCAACGACTCGGCTTTTGCAGTTGGGCTCGAAGTGATTTCTGCTCCTCAACCCGCTCACCTCCGCCATCTTGGACTGCTCAAATCTAACGTGTGTGACGTCAGATGAGCTTTTTCTTCTTCACGCTTCTGTCTGCTGAAGTTCAAACCTCCACGAGGCTGCTGCTGCTGGGTGAAGAGACGACCATAGGTGAAGACACAGCAGCAGAATGTAAACTATGTTCAAATTCACAGAAACCAAAACAACATGTGTTTTTAGGGCTTTTAAAAAGGTAGCACATGTTAACCTTCACTTCATATTCTGTTCTTGTACATATCCTCTATTCTATTGACATGTATACTTTTTGCACTACTTTGTATTTTTGTGTTTTATTGTATGTTGCATTGTTGGAGGAGCTCAGGTCAGAATAATGTCATTGCCATTTCTACACTGTGGCTTTGTGCATATGACAATAAAACCTTTGAATTTGAATTTGGTTAAATTTGATTATTGTGATAGTCCAAACAATATATGAAGTCTGGACTATAGGTCATGTTTCTTTATTTAGTTTGAAAACAATTGAATAAACACATTCTTATCCTATGCAGACATGTATGACTCCCTCAGTATGTGTTCTTTCACTGGGTTTGTTGCCAGAATCCATTTGTATCTGAGAAGTCATTTCTTAAAACCCATGAAGGCTATATTTATTTATTTGTTCATTCATTTATTAAATTAATTATTTTATATGTGTTTCTATTTCCTATTTTATCATATAGCTTATTTTTCCTCAATGTTGTATCAGACAGGCCTAATAGTTTGTTGCTATTATTATTACTTACTCAAATGACTACTATTACTATTAATACATTTTTATTGTCAAATAATTTGGATTATAATATTCTAATACCTGCCAAACTGATTACATTTTCATTAACCTTAGCTTGAGGCTGCTTTCATGTTTAGTGATGTTAGCATGCTTACCCTACCTGTACAGTCTATGATGCGCAACATGCTAAACTGCAATGGTCAACATGGTGAACATTACAAACATAAACATTTTAGCATTGGCCCTACGAGAATATAAGCATGTTAGCTTTTAGCTCAAAGCACTGTGTCTCTTAGCACTGCAGCTATCTTGTCTAATTTGTTTAAATGTGATAATATTCATTCACTTATCCACTCACTCCTTGTTACAACACCAACCTCTTGTGGTCACCAGCAGGCCTGATAATGTACACACTGAACCACGCTTCCTGCCTCTGTGTAGCTTGGTGAAGGTTCACTTTCACAGACAGACTGTCTTCAGTACAGATATCTGTGATGAAGTGCAGATATGTTGCTCTCCTCTCAATAACTTTATGGTGTTTAACTGCTGTCAGGGATGACTGCTAAGCAAAACGTTGTTAAAGCTCTTTATCTTTGTGGGTAAACTCACTTCATGTATTTACACAGCCATTCACATCCCCAAATCTGCCTGGAGGTGTGGGACCAGGCCGACAGAGAGGCTCCCCTGGCCGAAGCAGATGGGAGCTACGTGGAGTGAGTCCCTTTTTCAGAACTACACTTTGTTGTTATTGTGAATTGGCATATTTCATTGTTGAGCATGTGGTACAAAATAAAAGTTCACAACACCTTCTAAATGGACTATGTTGTGAGTGCAGTTTGGTCAAGGATTAATTTGCTCCTCAAGTCATTTTTGGTGTGTTTTGGTCAGCTGCCCTGTTTGCATTGGCATTTAGCTAATCTAAAAACTACCTGACAAAGCTGCTGTTTGGAGAAAGTAATCAAAGGTACTGTTGTAATTTACCAACTCCAAACTCTAACTGATATGACCTCGACACACACAACAACACGGTCGATTTATATTTACATATGAACACATTCATAGGGCACCTTATCACATTTAGTTGGCTAACTGGGATTGGGTGTCTGACGACTGCTGGATCAACACTCCCTCTCTCTGAGGGACAACCCCACATTTCCTGGAGATCCTGCTCCATCCAGGGATCAGATCTGACATTTAGGAGTCACTGAACAACCCTCAATGTTTCCTGTACTTCTTCACATTTCAAAGTCATAGATTAAACATCCTAAAACAGATCACATCTTTGCCTGTTGGGACTTTTTGGGCTGTGTTGCCTTCCATCTTCCATTATGCTAAATAAGTTCAATAGCCAAACACACAAAAGACACACACAGAAAAGAAGGTTAATGTAAGAGGGACAGATGGAAAATAAGAGTGAGAGGAAAGAGAGACCTGCTGTGCTAATCTGTGTCACTGCTCTTCTATTCTTAGAAGGTCCCACCCGCCAGCAGAAATATGAGAAACACACGTGATGACAAGTCCTGATACATTTAGAGAGAGGGTCAGCGAACAGTGACAGAGCCCCCAGACCAGCAATAAACTCCAGATGTGTGTGTCTGGATGGTATGGAGCTTTTCTAGGAGTGCAGCGTCATACAGGACATTTTCTTGAGGAATTATTAATAATTATTCCCATGCTCATGTACTTTTAAATTATTCCCCCTCCCATCGAAACTCATGTCATATTTGAAAACCAGATCCTTAGGCTCAAGTTACAGTCAGTTGAGAGAGGCTTTACTACATCTATTTGAGCTCATGTGATGATAGAGACTGAGTAGATGTCTCCCTCTAGTGTCTTTCCAAGTAAAATACAAGATGTTTGGACCCATATCACAAGCTGCATACAAGTCTTTAAGAACAAGTTACAGCTTTCCTGGATTTATTTAAATAATAATAATAATAGATTTATTTTGTTAGCGCTTTTACAGGTGCTCAAAGTCACTTTACAAAGATAGTGAAAAGAAAAAGAACAACAAATACATATAGTTAAAGTCAAATTAAAATCAAGCAATACAAAAACAATCACACATTAAAAGCCAGATTGAAGAGGTGAGGTCAGTGCAGTAAAGAGGCCCTATTATGGTTTTTGGGGTTTTCCCTTTCCTGTAGTGTGTTAAATAGGTTTGTGTGCAAATAAATGGTCTGCAAATACTGAAATCCAAAAGTTCCCGCAAGAGGGAGTTTCTCTTCCACCCACTCCTCAACTCACAAATGTATATTCTGTTTAGTTAGTTACAGAATGACTCAGTTATTTGAATGTCAACATGTTATAATGTTCTATGAACAGAACTCAGATGCAGACAGGACATTTCTCCCTCATTCAGTCGACTCAGCAAGGAGTGAGCAGCAACTGATAAGAGATTAAAGATACAAAGATCAACTATGGAAAAGTATTTCAAAACAAGTAAGGCATTTTAGAAATCTGTTATAGATCAGTAAGGCTAACTGTTGTGTAAAATATCACAGGATGCCTGGTAGCATATGTCAAATAGCTGCCTTTTTAATTGTAGGTACTATATATGTGTATAACCAAACCAACATATGGTTATTTGTGTGATGTAATATGTTTTACCGGTAGCCTACTTAAATATATATATATATTACAGAAAGCATGTCTGATTTTGTCATAATCCAATACTGCTTCCAGATCCTAAATTAAATGGTATTGTAAAATATAGTATAATTATGAGCTATATTTTACTTTCCATACAATTGAATTTCTTACTTCATACACAGTGCAATTACATTTTGGAGTAATTAAGTGATTTTTACATTACATAACAGTTTCACCAAAGTAACGATTCGCCATACCTCTTTCATCACTGCTTCAAATATTAACAGCAAGCTGGGACCAAATCTTAGCAAAATAAGGCACAATGAAAAAATCCGTAAAAATTACATTTTGATTGTTTATTGTTGTTGTGTGAGCTTTCCTTTCTCTCCTGTCTTTCAGCGTTGATGCAAAAGGTCCCTTGCCTTGATGCGTTGAAGAGTGATGATGGATATGCTGCACGTAATCTAAAAAAAGTCCTCGGGGAAAAGCCATATCTTTATTATCCAGCCAGCAACTTCTCTGACCTGGGCTGTATCTCATCTGAATCTGGTCAGTCCAAATCTACACCAGGACCTGAAGGCCACATGTGGGAGCCAGACAGCAGGGCCGCTGACTTTCATCCAAGAAAGGAAGACCATTCTCCTCCAGTGAATCACTCGTGTGACCTGAGAGATGTTGAGGCTCCTTCTTCCTGCTGGATATTGAGGACTCTGCAGAAATTCACTTTCGGATCCATCTACGGCTATGAGAATATCAATCGGAAATACCTCTACGCTCCCCCTTCTGACATATCTGGATTTGTGGATGAGGTCTTCACACAAAACATCTAGGCCGAATCAGTGCTTGCAGCAAAAGTAGTATAAACCACCAATATAAATTACAGAAAGCCATGAACCTATTTGAATAAAATGTATCGGCATACTTTATTTGGTCTTCATTTGGACACTTTTACACATTCATTAAAAAATACAGAAAAAACCCCAAATGTTTTACAATCAATTACTTTTGGTTGGTTTTACAGTAGCTAATATAACTCTCTTAGTTGCATACTAGTTGTTGGGGAATAATTTGCTTAGGTATTCAACCTTTGACACTGTTCATAATTTTCTCTTTTCACTGTCTCCTTTCCCATGGCATAGGTCTACGGCCTTGGGTATTGCTGCTATCTCTCTTAAGGAGGGGCAGCTTTATGGGATTAGTTTTGTATCATAAAGATAAAGCAACACTTTCTCAGAATAAAGCAAAACTATGAGTTTAAAAGAAAAAAAAACTGAGTCAAGCAAAATAAAATAAATTTCAAAAATAAAACTATGCGTTGCAAATAGGGCTGTCAGTCGATTAAAATATTTAATCGCGATTAATCGCATGATTGTCCATAGTTAATCGCGATTAATCGCAAATTAATCGCACATTTTTTATCTGTTCTAAATGTACCTTAGAGGGATATTTTTCAAGTTTTTAATACTCTTATCAACATATGAGTGGACAACTATGCTTTATATGTTTGTTTATTATCATTTGAACAATGACAAATATTCTCATGAATATAACACAACAACCTCTGAACATTACAAATATTCGCCTCAATTCAACCTAGAACCTCTCTCATACAATACTGTGTGTGTGTGTGTGTGTGTGTGTGTGTGTGTGTGTGTGTGTGTGTGTGTGTGTGTGTGTGTGTGTGTGTGTGTGTGTGTGTGTGTGAATGTGGAGGATCGTTGGAGCTATGTGCAGCTCAAGGCATATATGCCTGTGTGTATGAGCT